GCAGTACTTCATTTGATTGGTGTTTTTACAACCTTATCATCAAGATAAAAGAAGCTGTAAACAAAGGCCTACCGAAATGGACTGTATTTAAAAGAAGGAAAAGCCACCTGTGTACAGCAGTGGGTTTCAGGGTTTTGGGAGATTCTTTTTTGCTTTATGGTTTGGGTTTGTTTTTCCTTGTTTGTTTTCCTAACAGCAAATTCCCACAAGTCTTTACAGACAAAGCCTGCAAGGAAAGTGCTTCCAGGGACCAACCAGTCCTTGTGGTTTCTCCCGCGCCTGAGACCATAGCATCTTCTCTAGCAATCTCAGGCATCAGGCAAGGACAGGGTGGCCTCAATCTAGGTTCATCCTCTTGTTTGTAAATGACAGAATCTCTTCCCTGGGAGTTATCAGCAGTGGGTGGTAAGGAGTTTCATTTTGGGGGACAGATGTGCATTGTCTACAGCAGAGACATGGGTTCGCTGCATCACACCCAACTGAACAAACGCCAACCGAGTTCTGTGTGCGCCAAAATGGGAGTGGCCTCAAAACAGTTTACATTCTAAAAATGTGTGTTTGATAGCTGTCGAACACAATGTTTTGGGGGGTGGTGATAGATTTTTTTTTTCACTTTCATTTACTTCCTTTTTTCAAGGCAGTGTTTCTCTGCAGCTTTGGAACCTGTCCTGGAACATGCTGTGTAGACCAGGCTGGCCTGGAACTTGTAGAGATCTACCTGCCTCTGCCTCCCAAGTGCTGGGACTAAAGGCGTGCGCCACCACCACCCAATGTGTGATCTTTTTTTCTTAGCTTCTAGTTTGTTTTTCTCATTTCCGGCATTTCCTTTCATGAATATGGAAGATGGAGTGGTTTTATTTGGGGGGCGGGGTGTTGTGGACTGATGGTTTGGTTAGCAAAAGAGATCCTCCTTACCATGAAATATTTGCTGTAAAGCAGAGAAAATTTAACTACCCATTTAGAGCAAATCAGGATCTTGCATACCTGAAGCGTGGTATCACACTTGCTTAATGATAGATTTATAGAGCAAGTGCACATCAGCCTTAATCCCTTAGTTATTTGACTTACCAGGGATGAAGATTCTGATTTTTTTTTGAAAGCAGACTTTTATATATTCAGAACCTATAAATCTCCCAGTGCCTTGAGATAAATGTCTCACTGAACTCTGAGTTACCCTGCAATCTTTAGCAAACTGAGTCCAAGTAAAAGAAACTCCATCTGTCCTATTTCTAACAATAAAAGTCTACCTGAGGGGGGACATATTTGGCATAAGCAGTATGTCTGTAATAAACTACTTTCTATTTAGTAATGCATTTCTAATCTCCAGGAAGTTGGGCATGAGAACTTGGGAAATAAGCCCTGAATTTACCAGAACAAGTCAGTGGGCAGAGTGGTCAGCACCGGCATGGCTGCCGCTTGTCAGCCCAGGCTTTGCCAATCCAGTGATCATATCCATTATGACTGTCATATCAATTATGAATTCTCTGACACCAAACACTAAATCAGCCAAAATGACGGGTTTGCCTTTGGCATGTCTCCCCGGGGAAATAACTGAGAAAACATGTAATAATTCACGCAACCAATTTTGCAAACCACCCCCAACTTTTGGAAGAAGGCTGGGAAATAAATTCTAGGTGGATGGATGTGATTTGCACCAAGTGTGCCTGAAGTATTCGCTCTTTCTCGGTGCTTTGGTGCTTTCAGCATGGGCTGACCTTGGCCCTGTGTGAATCCTGAAGGTTTCTGCTTCTCTCGCAGCCATACTGCTGCTGTCCCATCTTCTTCCCGTCCAAGGACGTGGACTGTCTTCTGCTCCTGGCATCCTTGTTTGAAAAATGTTAAAGGACCAATAGTCCTTGAATGTTGAATAAATACAACATCATTCAAAACTCATCTTTTCTAGGAAGACTTGCCAAATAACACGTTATTGATGTAACTATTCTTTTCAGGTGAACCTTTTTGCATTTGGTTTTGTCAATAAACTACATGTTCATTTCAATGGAGACAGATTTGTTTCAGCATTGTTATTAAATTGTTTGCCATTTAAGGTGAAAACCTTTTCTTTGGTGTCTGGTTGCTTGCTATACAGGTTGAACATGCAAGTTTACATGTAGGTTCCTACCAGGGAACCTCAGAGGTGCCAGCCCAGACCAGAAGTAGACAGCTCTCCAAGAAAACAGAGTAAATGCCTTCTGGCTTTACTCCATTTCTCTTTCTGAGGAGCGATTTTTCCTGGGGTGGAAAGATGCCAGGTATGCCATCTAAGAATACCCAACATAGCCGGGCGGTGGTGGCCCACGCCTTTAATCCCAGCACTCGGGAGGCAGAGGCAGGTGGATTTCTGTGAGTTTGAGACCAGCCTGGTCTACATAGAGCTAGTGCCAGGACAGACTCCGAAGCTACAGAGAAACCCTGTCTCAAAAAGAAAAGAAAAGAAAAAGAATATCCAATATAGTACAAAGAAAGAAAATAACTATTTTCCAGGTAATTTGCTGTGGACTTGGCAATGTCCAGTTCTGTAAATATGGAGGAGATTTTAGGTCATTTGGGTCGTGTTTGTATATAGACTTAACTTGTCTTCAATATAGAGCACTCTGTTAATTTTATATGTGGCGCGAAAGCCTGGAGCTAATCAGCATATGATTTACTTTTTTATTTTTTTAATAATTTGTTTTTATTTCATGTATTTTTATGTTTTGCCTGCATGTGTGTCTGTGTGAAGGTGTTGAATCCCCTGGAACTGGAATTATAGACAATTGTGAGTGTCAATGTACATGCTGGGAATTGAACCCAGGTCTTCTGGAAGAGCAACCACTGCTCTTAACCGCTGAGTCATCTCTCTAACCCCCTACTTTCCTATTTTTAAATTTTATAGAAAATAAGTTGCTTAGAAAAGATGAGACTGTCGTTTTGCCCCTTTTTGTGAGAGTGGGAGTTTAGGTTTAATTTATTTTGATTTGTTGTTGTTTCTGATTTTGTTTTGTTTTGTTTTGTTTTGTGGCAGGGTCTTATAGAGCCCAAGTTGTCCCTTGAACTTACATAGCCAAGACTGGTTTTGAACCTCTGTTCCTCCTACCTCCCCAGTGCTGGGACTGCTGGTGTACACAATTAGGCTTTGCTTGAATCATGTTTTAAATAACCAAGATCTATGAACTGAGTGAGAACAATTCATGGGTAGGGTTCTCCTTCTTCAGTTATTTCAGTTTGCAAACATGAACCTCTAAGCAAAAAAAAATAAAATAAAATAAAATAAATGAACCAAGTTATTGTATTTTTATTTCATTCCTAGATACTGTAAGAAGGGATATTTGCATTGTGCATTAAATTGACCATAGTGTCAGAACCTTACGATGTTATAGTACATGATCGCTAATCTGTTATCACTGTGCACATATTTACACGCAGGCCTCAGGACACATACTTTCCGCATAAACACTCCCAGGCATGTTTCACTTGGACTGAAAAGATATTTACAGCTCTGTCTGGAGATACATACAACAGTGATTAACAATTGCACAGCCAATCTACAACAGGCAGATTAAAAACTAAATAAACGGCATAAGAGTTTATTTTAAAACAATTACAAGATGTTTTATATTTCTCCTTCATCCTGAACTATGTGTTTGAAAACAAAGTCTTCATAAGAACCACATGCGGATCCTTGGACTCTGAAACAGGCCGTGTCCCACAAGCACATGTCTGCACACATCTCCGAAGATAGCGTAGCCCTCACAAGTCACTCGGAATGAGACCAAAAGCATGTATGTGCATATGTATCGCATGTATGACTCCCTGATGTTCCACTATTTCTAACTTTCATTTGGCTTTGTTCCACTCCTTTAGAAGAAATTTTCTGTTTGGCTATGAATTAAAATAGAAGATTTGGGCTGGAAACAAAGATTTTAATCAGTACAACTAGATTGTTATTGTTATTTGACAAAGATTCCCATGGAAAGAAACTTGACTAAAGTTAACCAGCCATACTATTGTTTGCCATCCCTCAACTGAAGCTTACTTGAAGCTCCAGTTTCTAAATATGCAGTCAGTCTCTCTCTCTCTCTCTCTCTCTCTCTCTCTCTCTCTCTCTCTCTCTCTTTCTCTCCCACACACATAGGCATGCGTGCATGTGTGCATGTATACATACATATATATGTGTGTCTTTCTATCATTGAACTGAGAACACAGATCCAGCAATTTAATGACACAAACATAAGCTCCATCTCTATGCTAAATATAGGAGCAAATGGATGGAGGGAGGGAGGGATAGGTAGGTAGATACAGACAGAGAGACAGACAGCGACAGACAAGAATGGGACTTTAGAATTCACAATACTAACCCTTTCCACAAGCCTGGACCTTCTCTGGAAGAGACAAATAAGCAAACTCCACCTCTCAGGCTTCCTTGGGCTTCTGTTTCGCTCAGCCTGGTGAACCTTCCCTCAGCCCTCTATTCTGTTGATCCACTCAGGTTAGGAACTGCGTTGCTGAGCCCCTCTGCCAGGGAAGCATTTTTTTCCCTTGAACTGGACACAGTGGCTCTCCCCAGCTTACATCCTCCTGATCATTAGGGGCTTTCACACTCTTCAAATGGAATCATTTTGTTTTTCTTTTTTCACCTGAGTTAAAGGTTGCCCTTTCTGTGCACTCCTTAACAAAGTGATTCAAGTCTGAGTGAGTAGCTAGGCAAACTCTTTAGTGTAAAAACTACTGAAGAGTCCCAGACAGATGGCTCCGCAGCCCTGTACTGGCTCTTAATGTGTCACCTCTGCTTTTCTGTTTTTTCCAGGTGTTGTAAATATTTTTCAAAGTTGAATCACTGTTATAAATTCTTGTATAAACACAAGACATAATGAGAGACAGTATAGTGTAGTCATTACCAGAGCAACCTATCGAGTCAGCCAGCTTAGGCTCAGCCTGGACTTCTAGTGTCCACGTTTCTCCATCTGTAGGATGAATACAACCGTGTTAGTTACTTTGTTATTGCTGTGATAAAGCACCTTGGCCCAGCGCCATTTCCACGAAGTGGCAAAGAAACAGGCAGACATAGCAGCTGGAACGGTTGAGAGTTGGCATCCTCAATGGCAACCACAAAACAAGCTAGAAGTTAGGAAATCTTCTTAACCTCAAATCCTGCCCCTGGTAAAGTAATTCCTCCAGCAAGTCCTCACTGCCTAGACACCCAAACGGTGCCGTTCACCGGGACCGGGACCGGGACCGGGTCCGGGTATTCAGATGCCCAAGGCTGTGGGGAACATTTCTCATTCAAAGCACCACAGGGATCGCACAGCCCCTTGTAGATCTGCAGCGAGGTTCAGTTGGTTTGAACATGTAGAGAGGCTTGAAATACCACCTGTTGCAAAGTAAGTGTTAAACAAATACTAAATGCCTTTGTTTGGGATTATTGAAATTGCTATAGGTATGTAAATATTTAAGTAGACTCTTTAACGATCACATAGTTGGTCAAACTTCTGCCCAAAATAAATTTTTAGAAATAAAAATATTAAACTGACTGTAGCACAATTAATAAAAACCCAGAGACAGAAATTGGGGTTCAACCTGAAGAAGCAAAACAGCCAACCACTGACTCTTATATCTACCTCATTTTGAAATGGCGATCCTGCCTTCAGGAATCTCAGAATGAGACTGAGACTGAGAGCTTTCTCCTCCCGTTTTATATTCCTCTCTAGAGCTGGGATTAAAGGCGTGCATCACTGCCACCCAGTTTCTATAGCAAACGGGTGTGGCTACTGGGATTAAAGGTGTGTGTCACCACTGCCTTCCTTGATTGTGAGGCTGACCAAGGCACTTGTTTTACTCTCTGAACTTCAGGCAAACTTTATTGATTAAAATACAAATGAAATATTACTACAACGGACTTCAAAAGCCCACTTGGGAACTAACTGACCTAATTTGGCCAAATGACACTGAATATAATGATCAGAAATCTTTAAGTTCTTTTATCCTTTTTTCCCAACCCTCTCTGAAAGCACTGCCTCAAGGACGTGCATACGTAGAGAACTGGTAGGCCTTCCCTTTCCTTTTAAGTTATTAGAAGCCATCTGAAGAGTCCTGCATTTCAGAGTAGTGGAGAGTCACAACAGGGAGACCCATAGATGAGAAAGAGGAAGCATGTTTTACCGAAATTAGGGACCCACGTTTTCTGGTGGAGTGGATTTCCCAAGTAGTTATAGAAAACCTTTACCTGAACAGCATACTTGATAGGGTTTATCCCATCTTCTATGGCGCGTTCGCTGTCTGCAGCCACCCAGGACCATCTGAGGATAGCTCGGCTTTTCTGGAAAACGAAGAATTTACTCACTGAAGGACCGTTGTTAATATGCTCTTGGTGACAGTCTTTAAAAATACATTTCAGCTTTCACTGCCTTTTTAAAACTGAACAAAATGTCCCCAGCATCTGTTTTTCCTAGACTGTCCCCAGCATCTGCTGAGAGAGACAAAGTCTGCCCCCAAAACGGAGCAGCCATGAGCTGTCACTGCTGCGGCTTTTTATGTCTCTCCTCCACCCCCCCATCCCCCACCCCCACCCCGTCGTCAGCAGCCATTGACCTCAGCCGACTGAGGGTCCCACCTTTCGCCACCAACACATTTGCAGCTTTAGCAACTCCGTGGCCGAATGTAACAGCAAAACTACAGAACAGGAAGAAACGTGGAGGAACCCCTCCCTGGGTAGCACCAGCGTCTCAGACACGCAACAAGGATGGGGCTGGTGCACAGCCAAGAAGCTCTGATGGCAGAAGACACAGAGTTGCTCAGTAACGGGCTTGCCTGCATGTGTGTAGTTGGTACGTACTGATAATCTCCTTCTGTATGAATTCAAGGTTCAGCTGTGACTGGAAAAGCCAATCTGTACCACCAGGACCCTCCCTGCTGCATATGTGGAGAGTGGAAGTTGGTGGATGCTTAGCCTCCAATCTACAGTGAATATTTGTGTTAGCTGTCTATTGCCGCATAGCAAATTGTTGTCTCCGAGACTGCGGCTGAAAATAACACACATCTCTCACAGTCTCTCTGACGTAGGACTAGAAGTACAGCTTGGCTCTAGACATCACACCACCAGTTCCTCGGCAGGCTTGCTTTGGTCTTTCCCAGTCTGTAGCGGTGCAGTGTGAGCCTCATGTAAAGATAGTCTGGGCCTTTCCCTTTCTCCACCTCCTGAGTGGCTGAGACCATGCTCAGTTCCTCATCGTGTGAGCATCTCCCACATAGCCGCTGCCTTCAACATACAAGCAAAAGAGGCACTAGAGAGAGCTTCAGCAAAACAGAGATCCCAGCCTGTGCAACTTAATCCTAGAGGTGACATCCTATCACGTTTCTTACTATTAAAACAAATCCTTAGATCCATCCATCTCTGCAGTGTGCTCTAGGGTTCAAGTGAGAATGCTCCCCACAGACTCATGTATTTGAATACCTGGTCCCAGTTGGTGGCACTGTTTGGGGAGATCTTCCAAGCCTACCAAGGATAGGCTCCCAAGAGTTTTAGACTCTTCGAGTTCCCGCTCTCTGCTTCATGCCAGTGTTTGAAGGTGTGAACCCTCAGCATCCTGTTCCAGCAGCCATGCCTACTGCTTCCTGCCATGCTCCTGCTATGATGACCCCTTCCCCATCAGGAACCATAAGTCCGAAAAGCCCCTTCCTTCTGTAAACTACTTTGGTCATGGGGTTTGGTCACAGCAGCAGAAAAGTGACAAGTGTAGGTGGAGACCACACAAAGGCCTGAGCTTCAACAGGTAGAGCGCACTGGGGGCATTAGGGATGCGTGCCTGTGACAGCATGTCTCCTCTGCTCCAGCTCCATGGCCAGCGCCTCCCTTCTCCCTGCCCCCGACACTGGTGAGCCTGCTGTCGGTAGAGGGAGTCCTGGATGGGGCCTGATGCAGTTGCTAAATGGCTTTCCTTTCGACTCACTCTGACTATGAAGACAAGCCATATGTGCAGGGACAGGTTAGTTACAACCGTGCTAAGAATTTTCACACGTCTTCGGTGTGACTGAGTGTTACCCGTATCACAGGACTTCCTCGCTGGATGCTGTTCACCTGTGCAAGACACAGCCAGCCACAGAACGAAGTGGAACCAATTAGAACGGGTATGCGGATCTTCTTCAAAATAAACAAAAACAGTTTTGCCCTCGGTAGGCTAACAGCTGTGCTCTTTCGTCCTGTCTACTTAGAAGAAACAGAGTGACTGAAAGCTACTGCAACTTCTGCTGGCAACGCTTTTAAGATAGCACGTGATAGATTCCCCCGAACTGAACACAGTAGTCTGAGTATACCTTGCTCCTTCCTTCCTTTCACAGCCTCTTGAGGGTCAGTGGTCGGGTTGAGAACATCCAGACTGCAGCCTAGAACAGGGCCCAAGCGCTCCGAGAGCCACAAGAGCCCAGCGGGTGACAGAAGCAGCAAAAGGCGGCACAAGAGCAGCTCACACAGAGTTCTCCTGATAGGTAACATTTTTGAGAACTCCACGGTGCTTCTGCACACTCAGTGAAGAGTGTGAAGAAACTCGTCTTTCTAGAAACTCCACGACACAAGTGAGCTTTGGCATCCTGGAGTCACAGAGAAGAGTGGAGACCATGGCAGTCTGAGGACGTTAGTCATATCTGAGTGGTGTCAGTAACTGAGCCCCCTGTGTCTGGACATAGATCAGTTAGTTTCTCCAAAGAAGGCCACCTGTGAAGATTTGTGTGAAAATTCATAATTTGTATATATTGGCTCATTTACTTTTTTGAGACACGTAGCCCAAACTTGGCTTCAAACTCTCTGTATGGCCATTGGTAACTTTCACCTGATCGTCCTGCCTTCATCTCTTAAGTATCTCGGTTATATAGGCATGTGCCAATATACCTTGTATATATAGTACAGTGAATCAAACTCAGGGCCTTATGTGTGCCAGGCCAGGACTTGGCCGACTAAACTACAGCTACAGCCCTTTGAACATCTTCATCAGCGAGAGCTGAGTCTTGATCATTAGCTCCGTTCACACTGTTCTGTAGGACAGCCCACCTGTGTTTTCAGATGTTTCCATTGCAGGGGTGTTAAATGAGAATCTGAAACTTAGCTATCTTAAAACTTCCCTAGTTCTGCCCTTCAGAGCATGGCCTAGAGTTCAGAATGGTGGCTCACACCTATAATCTCAGCACTTGGGTGATAGAGGCGCAAGCATCGAGAGATGGAGGTCGTTTTGGGGGTATATAGCAAGGTCAGCCTGAGCTACGTGAGATGGAGAGAGAGAAAGGGCGGGGGGCACGACAGAAATCAACTCCCCAAGAGGCCTCTTGAATTTGTGTGCTAAGACCATGTTGGTATACTATGTTTGTGTCTAGGTCATACGTGTGCTGTGGCCCTGGCATCTTCCCCAGACACCCTAGGATTCTCCTCTAAGTCAGTCCCAGGTGGGAACTGGCAGCTGTTCTCTATAAATATGGCCCCAGACCTGTCCACAGCATTCTTGGTAGAGTCTAGTTGGCACCAAGGCACTTCCCCTTTCCTGGTTCAGTTCCTCTCCTCTCTCATCGTACAAAGTCAGTGGACCCTGTGCTTGCTGCTCGTACAGTCACAGACAGCCGGGGCTCCAGTTCTGGTCTTTTTCCACTTCTTAGTCGTGAGCTCTTAAGGAACTACTCCTAAATGACTTTTTGTCTTTTTGTCTTCATTTGTAGAACAAGGCATAAACTTGAATCTAGATCATGGTGTTAGTTAGCACAAGAACTAAATGAGTTCATAAGTTAAAAAATGTTTATGAGTATATATCGCACTGGAAATGTTATGAAAGCATTAATACAGTGTAAGCATCCCATATACTAAGTACTTGGAATCACAAGTGTTCCAGATTTGTTCCAGGTTCTTTAGGTATTTTGAACATTTGCTTATGTATATAAGGTATCTTTTGGGATGAGATACAAGTCTAAACAAAGTTTATGTATGCTTTCTATGTCCTTTATATATACTTTCTACAGATAGCCTGAAGGTATTTTTATTTTATTTTTTGTTTGTTTGTTGTTTTTTGAGACATGGTTTTCTCTGTGTTGTCCTGGCTGTCCTGGCGCTCGATCTTTAGACCAGGCTGGCCTCCAACTCAGAGGTCCGCCTGCCTCTGCCTCTGCCTCTGCCTCCCAAGTGCTGGGGTTAAATGCGTGCGCCACCACTGTCCAACTGGTAATTTTAAAACATATTTGTAGTGCTTCTGCTTTTACTACAACCCATACCACAAGATCAGCTGTGGAATTTCCCACTGCGGAATCATGTGGCTAGGTAGTTCAATCTGGAAGAGACATCGCTGTATGCATTGTCACTGTGACCTGTACATGCACCATCAATGTGCTCATTCCGGGCCATTCCCAATGATGTCAAGTTGAGTCCACCACCACTGCTGTCTCCAGACCCCCACTGATGCAGCAGCCAGTACTAAACTGTCTGGGGCCTCTGTTGCTGACCATACCCTCCATCTTGTCCCAGCGGGTGTCTGCCATGAGCTAGGCCCTGTCTTGTGAAGCATTGAGGGTATGGATGGAGAGAATACACGGTCTTTGCCCTCACCAGGGTCCCAGACAGAAAAATCAAATGAGGAAGTAGAGAGCAATCCCTAGGAGTGTAACATGAGGGCCGGCTTGTTGGGGTATCTGTCCCCACCCGGTACCCCACAGCCGGCAAGTCCCAGAGAAAATCAATCACACAGAGATCTCTATAAGTTATAAAGCTGATTGACCCTTAGTTCTGGCTACTTATTAGCTCTTATAACTTATGTTACCCCATTATCCTTATCTACTTTAGCCATGTGGCTCAGTACCTTTTTCAGCAGGGCAGCTTACATCTTTCCTCTCCGGTGGTCTGGGCAGAACTGGAAGCTTCCTGCTTCCCAGAATACTCCCAGTCTCTTTGCTCCACCCCTACTTCCTGTCTGGCTTTTCCGCCTATACTGCCTGCCTGGCCAATCAGCGTTTTATTAAATTATGATTGACAGAATACAGACAATTCTCCCACACCATTGCTTCCTGCTTCCCAGAATACTCCCAGTCTCTTTGCTCTACCCCTACTTCCTGTCTGGCTTTCCCGCCTATACTGCCTGCCTGGCCAATCAGCATTTTATTAAAATATGATTGACAGAATACAGACAATTCTCCCACACCATAGGAGACTTAGGCACCAAGTTTCCTACTTAATGTTTGTAAGTACTCTAAAGTAGCCAGAAACCAGAAAAAAACACTTAGCACCCTTGTGAAGCTGACATTATTTAGTAATAAGTCCCCTTTATGTGTCCGCAAGGTCTCAGGTGGCTCTTGACTTACCCATCTTTCTTAAGAGGTATTTATTAAATTTACCAGTTTGGTGGTGTTTTTTTGTAAACAGGTTTACTTGTTCAGTGGTGACTCTCATCCTGGTGTCTGCTCCTCAAGGGAACCTGAGCGCATTGGGGAGGGGAATCCTTGAAGACCATGAGAATAGCACTGTGAAATCATGGTCAGCCCTGGAAAGGCAACAAGGGCCTCCGAGCAGCAGAGGCTCAGCACCAGCGGTAGAGCATCCTCAGGTCCAGGTTCTGCTGTGGTTTGGTTTTGTCTCTAAGACATGGTCTCACACAGTAGCTTAGGCTGGCTCGATGTGGTCAGCTCCGTCCTAAAGGTTACTCTGCCCAAGGGCTGTCTTGCCAAAATCTAATAATCCCTGGACCTTGAGCTGCTGGAGACCGGTCAGAGAAGCACAGGGAGGCAAAGCCAGAAGAGATTCTGTCGTTACAGTTCCAGCTTTGTCACGTTCTAAAATCCGTATTATCATTGTCACTTATGAAGCCTGTATGTAAAAGCCCTCCCGCAGTCAGTGCATACTGAAGAACTCGTGTGTACTCATTTCTACTTAATCGGACAAAACCATCAGCTTTTGAGCTCATGGAAGCCCTGGTGTTTGCTAACTCCCACAGGAGCCTTGAAGACAGATAGATGGTAAAGTCCTGCCAAAAAAAAAAAAAAAAAAAAAAATGACTACACCAGTTCCAGGCTGCTCTCTCCCCGGAATCCTGGTCATGAACTGCTATTTGAGATGATCGGTTCACAGTCCTGCCGAAACCTTTGTGGGTTGCCAGATATCAGTTGTTGCCTCACAAGTGAAGCAAGCCATTTCCTTGAGCATCGAGTTGTTCCCCAGCCTGGCCTCTCTGTCGAGAAAGTGCCGTATTCATAGAGAGCTGCCGTGCTCCAAGTCCTTTGGCTTGTGATTTAACTGTTCAGGGAAAGCGCGGGCTGCTGTGCTCGCTCGCTGCTGGTGATGTGTGGTTTTGGTTTTATTAAATCTTTAAAATACAGGGCTTGTTTTTTACAGTTCCCATATATTCTTTTGTTCTTCTCCATGACTGGTTGGATCATACTTTTGCTTCCTTAGTAAAAATATTCGTGCCTTTCTGAAGAACACTGCGATCTCCAGAGTGGCTGCCTAATAAAGCAGAGAAACGTGTGGAGCTTGCTATCCAATGCATGGAAGCCTTGGTGTGGGTATACTACAGTGGGGTGGTTTAGGGCCTATTGAGAGGGCCTCAGGAATGCCTGTATCAAGGCTTACCAGATTTGACACAAATCTCAGAACAGTTTATGAAGTAAAGCTATCAAATGGATTATGTTTCCATTATAGACTGACTCTCTCTCTCTCTCTCTCTCTCTCTCTCTCTGTGTGTGTGTGTGTGTGTGTGTGTGTGTGTGTGTGATTAAGGTTGCTAGTTGCTAAGAAACAATTTGTTAAGTGGAAGCCAGCTCTTGTCCAGGTATGAGCTTGGGTATTCAAGTCTTGGCGCTCACATCCAGTGCACAGGGAACCTAATCCTTCTAACTCAAAGTTGGCAAGCTGAGGAATGAGAGAGCACCCCCACCTGCCCTAAACTCACAGGGCCCACTTCAGAAGACTGCTCCTCCTCAGAGGAGACTCAAAAAGGCTAAATTAGTCTTGGGTACAACTGGGCTAACCCACTGATGTGAATCCCCAAATAAGCCAGCCCATGACATCCAACTGAACTTGGTCCTGTACATGGCAATGTCTCTCAGCCCATCCTGAACTGTTAGTTTTGGCAAGGACACCACGGCAGATAATAAATCCTGGAAGGAAAAAGCGTTTGGCCTAGCATGGCTCAACCCACTGTAATATTAGAATACAGAAAGCAGCTCTGTTTTTACACACCCTTTCACCAACTCGGCGCTCGTAATTTATGATTTCACTGTACAATTCCTGCAATCCGACACCAAGAGTAGTCCCGCCCTCTAATTAAGTACTCTTGATAGAGAAAACGCGAAACTGACGTGCAAACCGTCTCTCTGTGCCAGTGATTGATAGTGATTACATCTTTATGAACCCAGCCTAAAGGTCTCAACTTCCTGGTGGGTGAAGTCGTCAGTAGGGCCACTTCCTGGCAGGGAGCGGTGACTGCTGACAAAACCAAAGATAACTCAGGGGGGCACAGCGTAAGCTTGTTGGACTTTGAAGCCTTTGGCTATCTGGCCATACTTGGTCACAAATCTCTGTGACTATCCCTGGTTTCTGCGGGAGCGTCCAGTCTGATTGCGCACCACCTCCACGCAGAGGTTGCGGTGCAGAGATGGAGTGTTGGGTAGAGGTCTCCTTGAGGTGTCTTAGTTTGCCATGCAGATTTTTTTTTTAAGTCAGAAATAGTGAGTAACAAGACATATTTCTGGCCACACTGGTACTTGAATTAAACACGATAGCCAGAGAGAACCTTAATCCATCCTATCGTTTTAAGTTATTTTTTGAGACAGTGTCCTGCTCTACAGCCCAGATTGGCTTCAAGCTGATAATCCTCCTCCTGCCTCCACCTCCTGAGTGCTGTGATACTGAATATGTACCACCATGCCCAGTTGTTCAAACATTCTTTTCCTTCCTTTGTTCAAAAGTAGGCAAGTTTAACCTGTGAACTAGTACCAGGAAATCTTACAGCCCGACCTCCCTGAGCCAGGTGTCCCCAGCTCGCCACTGATGCTTCTTTAGTTGTACCCTTCCCCGGCTGAAAAGCAGTTGCCGCAGCTCATACCCCTGGTCTGTATAAAGATGTTATAGGTGAATTGAGACCAGCTGGGCTGCTGGAAAGCAAACTGGTCTGTCAAGGGAGCAACAGCTGCTTTAAGTGGACGCTTCAGTCTGTACTCAGCTGCTGCCGTCATCGCGATAGCGACCGAAGCAAGCTGGTATAGTTATACACAACTGTCTTTCCTCTGTGCCTCCAAGATGTCTGTGACATTTTCTGATGTTTTTGCAGGTTCGGACCTGGCTTGGTCATCTACTGGTACGGATTTATCCAGGAACTGGACTGCAACCGGGAAAGGGGCATCCTGCTCAAAGCCTGCTTCCCCACAGACATTGTCACCCTAGGCCACAGCACCGCTTGACCCCGAGGATCCTGGAAGAGAAGCCGGAAGCAATGCTGCTTTCCTGCAGTATAAACTCCTGGCAACATCTGCCCTGAACTTGAGCTGAACCCTGGCTGCTGCAGTCTCAGCCCTACCTCGCTAGACAAACATATCAAAAGGTTCTGCTTTCCTTCAGCCCTGGTTGATGGGAATAGCGGAGAACTCCGGACATAACCGCTCACTATCAGCATCTCCGTCTCTGACACAAGCTTAGTTTATAGATAGTCATAATCCTGCTTCCTTCCTGATGCTTTCTCCTTGTACACTGAACAGAAGGAAAGGTGTGGAGACCGAAGGGTGGGGTTTTCCAGTTCCCCTCCCTGTCAGCCAGTCCCTTCTTTTCCCTCTAAACCTCCTTCTACCACCGCGCCCTCCTTTCTCTGCATGGCCACTCTGAGACTAGGTGTTGCACTAACATCAGGGAGTATTACCTAGCACAAATCTAGGAAATCTGGAGACAGGAAGTCTGTTAAAATGTGTGCCTTTTTACCTGGAGCTCAGCAGAGCGGGACAGAGACTTCTGTGGAAACTTATGGCCTCCTGACTTGTGTGGCATCCAGCCAAGCTGCAGAAGTCCCCCTTGACGATAATGTCCTCTGTTCATAAAGCTTATTTGGACCCCAAACATTTCACTAACGTCTCCTGAGAGGATGAGTGAAATTGTGTATGCAAACCATGCTCCTTTGGCTTGCATGAGGCCAACTACTAAAGCTAAGCCTCCCTGTCGACGGCAGCCCTTTGAACAGGACTGCTGGCCTATACAATGTTGGCCACTATTTTTATGAGATATTTTTAAAAAGTATATTCATGTGTACTGCCTTGTGTTTGCATTTTATACCAAATAATTGTGTAGCACTCAAATAATTTAGACATTATAAATAATCAGCTTTGAATGAATTAAGTGTACCAGAAAATAATCCTGGAGCGGTTTTTAAATAATCAAAATAAAAGAGATTTTGTATTTTATTCACTTTAATTTATTCACTTTTATATACTGCAAACCAGACTTCAGTCAGAAGCAAAACATCAATAAAATAATTCTAAACCTATCTTTTGGAAAATAAAAACTAATCTGTATTCACCCCCTCCCCCAAGTTTATTTAGTAAAACATCTTTGCCCCGGTGCTGTGAAGTGTAGCTTTTAGAATGTTGAATAGATATTTTGAGAAGCAAAAACAAGACTTTTGGAAACACCTTAAGCCGTACACATTGATGGGTTCCTTTTGTGCCTGCATCGGTGAAAAACTTGGCCAGTCGCCTTCCTGCCGAAGGCCACAAGTGTGGCAGGTCCAAGATAGGATGTTAAGCTCTCCCGGGAGATTGCTGTAAATCACAGGCGAGAAGGGTGAGCGGTCAGGAAGCATCAGGCGGGTTCTGTGTATGAATCGAATGATTTGAGACCACGACTACATTGCCTTTCTACACATGCTTTAAAGAAAGATGTTAAAATCTGGTTTTACGGCATGCCCTAAGCCACTGGTTTTGTTTGTCTTGGGTGGGGGGTCAGGGCGGGCTGGGGGTATGGGTTACAGTAAATTACATGTATCTGCGCTGATATAGAATATCCTGCTAGGCCCTTGTCAAAGATTTACTTGTTTTAACATTAGCCTAACTTATGGTGAGCGTGCACAAGTAAAATTTAAAAGCTCCAAAGGTGCTTGCGTTTGTGTTGATTCTTCTACATGGGGCCCTGACATTACGAAAACGTTCTGGTAGCCCCAACAGAGACGCTCCCTTGTATTTATGAGTGGAGCTTCCCAGTTGGGCCCCTCAAATCAAGAAAGCAACCAACAGTAAATTACATTCTGTGGTAAGATTATGAGTTACTCCGAAACTAGTGTGATCCGTATGCCTGCTGTGTTTGAATTAGAGACATGTGGAAAAGAAAGAATGTTGCTCCCAGGTGAGAAGCTTAAAACCCCTTGGTCGCTTCCTCAGCAGTTAAGAGCATTTGCTGCTTTTGCAGAGGACCCAGGTCAATCCCAGCACCAACGTGGCAGCTCGCAGCTACTTGTAAATCCAGTTGATTACAAAGAGATCCAATGGCCTTCATGGGTACCAGTCATGCACATGGTACACATACATACATGCAGGCAAAAATGCTCATACACATAAATTTTTTTAAAAAATCTTTAAAAAATGCTTAGCCATACAGCATTCTTACATGTGCTTGCTTGTTTATTTATTTATTTTTATTTTTAGTGTAGACAATCCAAACATCAGCCCCGGGCCAGCAGTGATGGGATAGCTTACTTTTATGGCTGTCATCATTAGAACATTAATGTTAAAGCCAAATCGTTAATATTTTTGTGGACCATTTTGTACACTGTGCTGATGAACCGCGCCAAGTCAGGATGCAGGCATATGAGTAAAGCAAAGCTCTGGGCGGTGTTCCCTCTGCCACAGAGACTTACACAACTGCACCCACAAACACATCAGACCCCTGTGAAGAGTGGAGAGCGGTCGGCACGGAACAAAGCCAATCCACCTGACATTCGATGATGCCTGCGTAGACTCCTCCCCTTTATCCTTCTCTCCCCCTTCTTAAAAACACAAGCAATTGAGACTCTTTCTTTCCCCTTCAGCATGTGTGTGTAAACTTTACAGACGACAGCAGGTTCAGGGTTCTGAAAGTCCACCTCTAGGAAAAGTATTCATTTTAAGTAGGAGTGTGGACCTGCTCGTCACCAGCAAGGCTTGCTGCCGCTCTGAAAAACATAATGGGTGATTTGTCTTTGGGGATCGCATTAACTCATGAGAGCCACCAGGGAGGAGACTGTTAGAGCCCTGATGCTTAGAGACCTAAATAGTCCCCTGGCTGGCTCCACTAATTGACACACGGCACCAAAGTGAACAGTTAGTTGCCTTGACTCTCCCTAGGGAGCTACACCCACTGTTTGCTTTCTGCTTCAGAACCAAGATCATTGATGTTTGAGCTCTTGGACCTGCTTCAGGCCCAGAGCTTCAGTTAGATGAAATCTACAGCACGCTGTGTGTTCTTCCTTCCTGGTCATCTTCACCCTCCTGAGTTTCCATCCATGTGGATACGCCTTCCCACTCACCTCTTTGTTCTTTGTAGACAATGATCCCTGAAGCAAGATAAATCTCAAAACCCCTGTGAAGTAGCAACTAACCCGATCTGTCCAAGTAAAAGTGACGCACACGTCACAGACCACCACCCCAGGGTGCACACCAGCACCCAGAGGACCCTACTGCATTTTACTCAGAATAAAGTTGCGTATTTCCATGAGATTTATGCCTTAAGTGAATGCTTGGCAAAAGGAGCCAACAAAGCTGGCCATGGCGATGAATGTCAATAATCCCTGCGTTTGGTGGACGGGCAGGCAGATAATCTATGAGTTCAAAGCCAAAAACTGGTTGATATAACAGTTTTCAAGCCAGCCAGGACTACAGTGTGAGCCTCTGTCTCAATGAAATAAAATAAAATAAATCTCCAAAGAAGCCAAGGCATGGAAGATTTTACAGTGTGTTTGAGCCCACATGATTGGGTTCAGCTGATCATAGTTGTGAATTAAAATAGGAAAATTTCTGTCTGGCTCGGTGCGTCACTTCACTCCATTATGTGGGGCAGCTTGCCATGGCCCATGTCTCTGAGAGGAGACTGCTTCACAGAATAGCTATTCGGTGACAAGAATGGGAAGAGATGCTCTCCCCTGGGCACATTCTTGACTAGGGTTAAGGAACAAAGTCAGGGGAAATTTACCAGGCAAACAATGGGTGTGCCCGCCGTGTCACCACGGGGGCACCGGCACAGGCTGCCTATCTCAACCTGAAGCGCTCTCAGGTCAAGGAAGGGTCATGCGTGACACAGTTGAGCCAGGCTAATCATCTTCCTGACCCTCCTGCCACTAGGAAACCCAATCTGAGGCCGTTTGGTGAAGAGCATGCCTGATCCTAAAGGTTAAGTGAGGAAGATGGGATTATGAATGAAATAATAACCAGAAAGGCCTGCGTCCCTCTTGTGTTTTGTGCTTTCCTGCGATTGTTTGGAAGATGGCCGTGAGACAAAGGACCGCTGAGGTCAAGCACTATAAATTACAGATTTCATACAATAGTCATCCACTAAAATGATTTCAAAGCTTGATCAAAGTAATTCCAAAGAGCTTTTAAAACGTCTCTACAATACGTGGGGGCAGGAAGTGCTCGCTTGGTGCCTTGATTTGTTTCAGTCAGTGTAGCCGGGTTCAATCTTGGTGCCCATGCCTACTTTATATAAAAGCCAAATCATTGATTAGGTGAGTGTAGCTTGTGCTTCCTGTGTGAGGACAAAGGTTGTAGTTTTTACTTAGTTACCCACACCAACTAAACATTTGAAGTCACTTGTACAGAAAAGATACATATAATTGATTTTTTTTTTTTTTTACAGGAGCATAACTTGACCATACTTACGTCCTCAAAGTATTGGCTGAACCAGATCTACCCCCTACGCTTAGTGGGGCTTATTTGGCCTTTTAACAAGGCAATAGCTATGTTTCTCTTTCCTTTTCCCTCACTTGGCTTTCTTCTGAGCGGTCTCGTGTCTTAGACAAGGCTGATGGGAACTAGGCTCGTGACAGCAAACCTGAGAGACCTGAGTGTAGCCACGTTCCCAGTGAAGGAGGATGAAGGTAGCCATGTCGGGCGCAACTGGTGGCCCACACTACTGGGTCAGATCACCTTCGCTTTTTTAAAGGAAGGTCACTGTGAAAGGCTGGCCTGAAATAGAACCACGTCAATTAAGTAATAACAGTTGAAGTTCAACATTTAATTGAGGGCCAAACATGAAGCCAGTGACCATTAAACTAGAACGGCCATTAATCCTCCTGGAAACTGCTGTTGCTTAAAGGTATTGCTAGAATAACTTGTGCTGATGCTTGAGGGGGAGGGGCCTTTGTTATTTTTCATATCCAACATAAATTCATTCAGAAGTAATTTAGTATGTCTGGGTTGACTTTCTGATTTTCTTTTTATTAAAATTCTTCTGGAAGGCATCAAAATCCAGTCAAAGCACTAACACTTTACAGGAAGCCATAGCTCTTTTTTGAGTTAACTGAAATACGAACATGAACTTGAGTGCATAGTAAGTATCTTAACCGTCAGATTAGTTGCTGTTTGTTTAATGTAAGAGCTCCAGTTAGATAATGATCTTCAGGGAGCAGAAATCACATCTGTTTTGGTGACTTCTCTATGCTCTGGGTGCTATCAAGATTCCTGGTACAGAGAGCTGTTCAGTAAGTGTTAGATGACAAAGTGATTGCTAGATTTGTATTGAATGCGTCCTCACTTTCATCACACAAATAATTGGAGCTACTTCTCCCCTCTTTTCAGCTAGAAAATCAACATAGTCACAGGAGCATACATGTTGATGTTAAAGAATTAGTTACTTTAAACTTCTCAGAAAATCTCAAGGCAAATTTATGAAGAATAGTTTTTGAGACGTGCTCAATTTTAAGGGGGCTTCATTATCATTTTGTCACATTTGCGGAAAAGTAGCCCAAGATTTTATCCACTGAACCGCTAAATGAAGATATCAGAAACTGTACTGTTCTTTTAAAGATAGACTTACCTTTATGTTTCAATCCAATTTTGAAAATAATTGCCCTTAGTATCCTATCAGGCACCCAAATCCAAGTGTTTCACACACAGATTTGGGGCTGCCTGGGGGTGTTGTCAGGGTCCCTCAAACTGGCGCTTTTCATTGCTTCCTCTTGTAATGTCTGGTTAATGGCAAAATGCGTCCAGGCCACGAGAGTGGTTGGCTGGCTCTAGGGAAAGTATCCCTGTCCTATGTCTGTCAGATCTGACCTTTGAAGAGATGCAATCCACAGCCTACTCAGTGGGTGCGTCCTTATTAGTCATGAACTCAGCTGTTTCAGCATGGGAAAGCCAGAGGCTTCTATTTCCTCTTGTGCTGGAAACTTGCAGCACCTGTTTCAAGAGCTTCCATGAACATCTGGAGAGATCTG